ACCATGCTTACAGTGAGTGACCTAGGAAGTTATTTCTATAGGATTCTTTTCACCCTGCTCAGCTGCCCAGGCACTGAGGGGTCACTTCAGCTAAGTCCCACTCCTTTCTATGACATAAATGTTTTTTCCATGCCACTATATATTTAAAGTATCTAATTTTATTTCATAGGTGCTCGCAGCCAAGAATTACTTTTTCCTTGAATGTTTAGAAAGTATTATATGTTTCTTTTGAGTCTAAGACTCACTGTATATGCCTGCTGGCCTTGAACTTGCAGTCTTCCTGCCTCTGTCTCCCATGTGCTGGGATTGCAGATGCATGCTGTAGAGTCAGCTTTGAATTTGGACAATGTCAGAACTGTGAAGGGACTCTTAGACATGAAATTCGGAGTTCATGTCTTTGGAGACTACTGGACATGAACTAATGCATTTTGCATTATGAGATGGCCTTGAGTGTTTGGGGGCAACAAGGGGAATGCTGTGTTTTGAGTGTGAAATGTCATCCCACAGATTCATGTACCAAATGCTTGTCACTATCTGGGGGAAAACTTTGAGAAACAGAGCCTAGCTGGGGAGTAGGTCATTAAGGACATGCCTTTCAAGAGTGTGCCTGGTGCCTGGGTCCCCTTTCCCTGCTTCCAAGAGGGGAGAAGCCTCTGCCACATGTTCCTCCTGTCATGTCGTTTTGCCTTACACCAGTCCCAAATCAGCAAAGCCGAGGGGAAGTGGTTTAAACCTCAATAGAAATATGTTAAAATGACTCTTTTCTCCCTGCAAAAAACAAGACTAATCTGTTATGATGTCATTACTGACAGGAGAAGTGCTCTAAATTGAGTGTGATGACGCTCATGTCACCTGAGTGCCCCTGGAAGAACTACCTGAGTTTTCTACCTCACTTTAACCTTGTCTTTGAGGACAAGATAAGGCTAGAAGTCGCTCTTCAGGAAGCTTGAAGAAACTGTTCGAGATGGGTAAAGGAGTACCAGACAATTTCTAACTTCATCTTAAAGCCACCTGTGTGCTCAAAGAAACACTCTAGTGCTGTGGCAGTTGGTGGCTGACATGAGATGCCTGGAATAAAGTACATAATAGAAAAATGATCTCCACTTATTCCTAGAAAAGAGGTGAACATCCCTCCCATTTATAAGTTTACCCCTCATCCAGGACTAGGGGTTGCAGGACCGTTATCATAACCCTTTATGATGCTCAAACTTCAAAGTGAGTAGAAGGCCAGCCTGGGCTACCTAGTTGAGACTATGTCTCAAAACAAATAGTTTAAAATGGAGATGTATCTCTGTGGTAAGCCTAGTGTCAACAGAGCCCTACATTCGATCCCCAATACTGAAAAAGAAAAACAAAATCCTTTCCCTCCCTCATATCTTTTCCTATATAACACTCTGATCCCCACGAGTTGAGAGGTTCATATGCAAGTCTGCTCCCCACTTCTTTACATATTGGGCAAGAAAGAAATTTTCCTTCCCTGCTCAACTGGTGCTTAGTCTTGTTATTTGTTCCACATTTGAAGAAGAAGAAACAATCCTATTTGGTGGGAGGTGGAACAGAGAAAATGTGATGAATATTCTAAAATATACTTAGAAGAACCATTCAAACGAGTGAATTTAGGATCACAGCTCAATATTTAAAAAAAAAAATAAATCACAAGAAAGAAACAGTCTTATATTTTAGTAATGTAAATATATGCTTCTTACTTTAATCAAATATGTGATGTTTCATACATTTGGGTGATAAGGAAAATGTTTTTCCTATAATTTCCGGTGCTTTTCTTTAAAGAAATAATACAAGCTTTAAAATTTCAGGGTTAAGAACCCTTATTCTTCTTTTACAGCCATTGTAGTTTAAGAAGACTTCCCACTAGATGGCACTGGTGTGCAAATGGTCTTACTCATAATCTTTGCACTTCCGCACATCAGTAAAGTGATTCCATTCTTTTCCCTTGCCTTGACTGATCTTCCTAAGACAAGGGAAAGTGGAAAAACATAACAAGTTACTTCCGACAGGTAAACAGATCACCCCTTTGCAGACACAGGGTGCAATGCAAGAAGTGATTGTAACCCCTGTGTCAAATTCATTGTAACCATCCGTAATTCCTGAGTCTTAGAGACCATCAGCTACACAATATAGAAGTTGGCATGGGCACTATTGTAAAGGGAAATAGAAAATTGGCTTCTCCAGTGTCTTTGTACACATGTTATTTCATTTGGTCCTTGAACCGTTAGCTCTATATAATAAATACACAAGGCTAAACTGTTAACTTCGGGAAGAGAAGAAGCGGTGGCCATTTTGCTTGCTACTTTGTCTCTTGTGTTTAGCACAGTATTCAACAAGTGATTAAAAGCCAAAAACTTAGTTTCCAAGTGTGGCAGCATCCATCTATACTTTAAAGTTCAATACCAGCTTGTGCTAGATAGTGAGACCCTGTGTCAACATAATGTCAAAGGACTGGAGATATGGCTCAGTGGTCAAGAGCACTGGTTGCTTTACCAGAGGACCAAGGTTCAATTCGTAACACACACACACACACACACACACACACACTGCTAAGTTCTGTTCCTGGGGATCCAATGCCCTCTTCTGACCTACACGGGTATTGTATACATGTGGCACACAGACACACATTCAGGAAAAACACTCATACATAGGATAAAAATAAATAAAAATTTCCAGAAAAAATTAAAGTTAATTGAATGAATGGGTGACTTCACTAATTATGTCTGACAACTAACTGTTCCACTTAGTATGTAGCCTTATTTTTACTCTACAGTTGAAGAGTCCAGGCTAGAACTACACAAGGAGTTTACAGGATCCGGTGACAAGATGGATCTTGTTCTACCAGCAAGTGTCTGGCTCCTGGAACACAGTTGGCACACAATAAATATGGTTGTGCTTGACTTCATAGATGCCCAGATCTTAGCAGCCCGGATATAAGCATTTCAGGAGCTGTGCTCCTAGCCCACTTTTGTGATTCTTTTTTTCTTTTCATTCCAATGCTACTAAAGGCTAACTCAGTCTTTGGTTCTAGATGTCTGTTGACCTCATCATCAAGGCTCAGTAATAAGCCCTATAAGGCATTTCCCCCAGGTGAGCAGCCATCATTTTCCCTGCTCCTGCCTCTTGCAAGTGCTTGTGGGAATTGAGCAGATCAAACAGAGGGTGGCCTCTGGGCCTGGTTCTGTTACTTGAGCCTCTTAACTTTGGGCCTAAGATTCCTCATCTCTAAAGAATGAGGCTAGGATCTCATGCCTTACAGGCTCCTTTCAGCTGTCAGGCTCTATAGTTTTAACTGTCTTAGTCAGGTTTGCATTGCTGTAAAGAGACACCATGACCATGGCAACTCTTATAAAAGAAAGCATTTAATTGGGTCTTGCTTATTGTTTCAGAGGGTTTGTCCATTGTCATCATGGTGGGAAGCATGGCTGCAGACAAGTAGATATGGCTTGGGCTTCTGAAACTCCCAAAGCCCACCCCAAGTGACATACTTCCTCCAACAAGGCCACATCCACTCAGATAAGGCTACACCTCCTCTCCAATAGCAGCACTCCTTAATGACCAAACATTCAAACATAAGAGCCTATGGGGGTCATTTCTATTCAAACCGCCACAAATTCTGTCTATAGTGACTCTAAATTGAGCTTATGGTCAAAATGGTGACAAGGACTCCCTGTTGTCATCAAAACTTCAAACTCCCCCAAGTCTTCTGTTTGACTTTTCCAAACTTCCATGTCTCTGATAAATCAGGGCAGTGACGCCTCACTGCTATTAATATCTGTCACTCTGGCCTGCCTGCAACATGAATTCTGTGAAGCAGATCTATCAAGAGTCCCTCTTATCCCCTCCCATTTCAGTAATTTTTCATTTAATGACTTTCATACTACCCTGTCATAAATATTCACTTCTCTTACGGGAACCAAGTCCAGTATCTCTCCTTTGCTCCAAGAGCCATTGCACTGGCCCTTTGTTCCTGTCACCATGAACCCTTAAGAGTGAAGTCTGCCAATTTTTTATTTATTTTTGGTTTGGTGTTTTTGTTGTTGTTTGTTTTCTTTTTGAAAATAGAGTGTTGCCCAGATGCTGGCCTCGAACTCACTATGTAGCCCGTGAGGCCTCCAATGTAGCAATCTGACAGACTGGGATAACAGGCATGTGTCACCGCATCATCCAGTTTATCTTTTAAAAGGGTGAAGAGTAATCGTTTTGTAACAACACATTCTGGGCTTAGAAGAAGCCAGAAACCAGCTTTGGGAAGGCTTGAGCATCTGGCAGGTGGGTCTTTTTGGCAACAGGGCAACCTAGCTTGCATAAACTGATTCTTGGTTTCCATGGGACTGAGATTTGGGACTGCTCAGAGTCCCCCGCGGCGCCAGGGGGCGCTGCGGAATGCTCCCGGAAGCCAGCCTCGCTCTCTGTGGGACAGCACCTGCCTCCGGGCTCTGGGCTTTCCGGAAGCGGAGCTGTGGACCCGCGGCCGCGGCGGCCGGCT